CGTCCCACGAATTCAAACGCTTTGTTCCAAGATGTAACTGATTTCTGGTTTCATCCTAACGTCGTCCCACGATTCCCAACGTCTTTTTTGTTTCAATCGGTCCGATGTGCAGAACCAGGGCTAGTTCCGGTTTCTGCCATCACCCCCGTTGCCATAATCTTCTATCGAACTCTCTATTGATTTCTGTTATTGAAGATTATTCTGTCTCCTTTTTTTTCAAATCTCACCATGTCTTCTGATAAGACTAAATCAGCCACTCCGTTACGTCCACATGGTGTTCCCATTACTCCTGTTGGCAAAGACAGTGGTACCAAGAAACGAAAACGCAAGAAGGATAGTGCTACCAAGGAACTTAAACGCAGCAAAGATAAAAAAGTCCCAAAGGCCAAGAAGAGCAAAAACCTTAGTTATCTGGGTAAGGACACCTCTTCCACCTACCCACCTCCCACCACAAAATCGCAACCCGTCGTCGACCAAGACGACAAACAACTTTCTTCTTTCAAATTATCTTATGTAACCAAGCAACTGCAGTTCAAGCMGTACGCTTCACCCGCCTTCATTGAAATTGTCTGCAATGAACTCAAGACTACCTTTGGACTCCTAAGAGATCGTGTGTTTTTGTTTACCAAGGTGGCGAAGGCACTCCAGAACGAGCAGTCGCAGGACCCTAATTCCGAAGATTCATTATTGTTGCCTTCCATTCATTATGGCATCGACCTCTTTGTGTATGACACGACTCCCCCTGGATATTCAAAAAAAAATACGAATTGTCCGGTGGGGGTAAATCATCACCCTTTTCCTCTAGACTTTCCAAACTGAAATGCAAGGACAAATATAATTCGCTGTCTGATTTGCTTGGAAATTCAAAAGCCGTTACAATTCTCAACAAAAGCAAGAAAACCGACGTCACTGATAACCAAGGCGCTTTGATATCMTACGAGACTATGTGTAGGTAYCTTRCACTCTATMGGCAATCCCTTCATTTTTATATGAAACGTGTACAGTACCCCCCTGCACCTCTTGGTTGTGAGAAAGGACCATTTTGGTTTGACCGGAGCTCTCAAGACCTAATGACAGCTACCACTGAGTATGTCGAGGGCTTCTTTGAGTTTTTYGACGTGCTCGTTGGACAAGAATCACTCCATTCCTTTTTCTCCACTCATCCGAGCTCAGATGATCTTCAGGGACGTCGTAAGTCATTGTTGTCGACGCGCGCGGTGACTAAGTTTGCGGGGTCTGATTCTTCTAAAGAATGGGTTCATCCTCCGGACCCTTCCACCGTCAATAGATTGCTGGAGGTCCAAGATAGCAGGGAGAAGCTATTTCATGAATTACTCCATGGTTTGTGGAAGAACTTGAACGGGAAGACAACATTTGGAGTTTTTTCTTCTTTATGTCTATGCCATTTCGAAGGTTCTGTTATCCTCAA